GGCTACTATTGGATCTGGAGTATGGAAGCCCCTTTGGGTCTGATCCTCTTCAGGGCTCTTGAGCTACCCAGATGCTCTTGAAAGGAGCAGGGCTGCACTGCCAAGCCGCTGGCCACTTAAAGAGACAGAGAGCCCACCGGGTGGGTCTTTGTGGCCCCTTCAAGAGAGGCAGAGCTAGGAGTGCAAAGCAGAGGCAGTCAATGCCTCTGAGCATGTACTGAGTGCTGATGGGAGACATAATCAGGAATGGCAGATATAAGTTCTGGCTGTCCCTTTACATTAAAAACGAGGTTTTGTGAGAGAGAAGCATGCGGTCAGCCTGCCACCTTATCATGTTGATAGATGCCCGCACTCCCGCTGGGGCCAGGGCAGAGGGTAGGAGGCGTTGCCCGGCTGTAGGATCTCTTTCCCTGGGGTCGTGAGAAGGCCCCCTCGCCGGGACGAATGGGCCAGGGGTACCGACGGCACTAGGACCACCCTCACCTGCCGGCCCCTCATTGTCTCTTGCCCGGCTGGGATGCCGAGAGGCGGCGCTAGGCCCCGGCGTCCGGCCGCAGGCTCGTCTCCGCCCATTGTTTGGCTGCCGCTCGGCCCCGCTGGGGGGCACGGGGACGGCGGGCTGCTGCGCCTCTGCGCCGCATCGCGGCACTCGGCGCGGACGCGGCTGCCCCGCAGGGTGGCGCCGCCGCCGCCAGGCGCTGCACTGTGATCCGTCCGGAGTATGGGCGCAGGGCTGCGCGGAGAGCCGGCAGGCGCTGGTGGGCCGGGGCCTCCCGCTCGCCTCCCTCCCGCCCAGCCGGCGACGCCCCCCCCGCCCCGGGGTGCCACGCGCGCTCTGAGCAGACTCCGCGGGCCGCCGAGAGCCCCTGGGCGCGCCACGTGGGACCGGGCGGTGCTCGCCGAGCGGGAGGGGGGCCTGCCTCGTGCCCCACCCACCCCTCCTGGCGGGCTGCTCGGGAGCAGCTTGCCGAGAGCGGGCGCCCCTTGGCGGCTTGTCTGCGCCAGCGCGGCGCCCGGCGCGGCAGCAGGAGGCAAGGGTGTCCACTGGACCGGGCGAGCGCAGGGATGCCCGGCGGCCGTGGGGCGGGGCGGGGCGGGTCGCTGTGCCGCGCCGCATTTCTCTGCTTGGTGCGAGGGCTTGCCGAGGAAGCCGCCTGCGTCCTGCTGAGGAAAGATGCAGGAAAGCTGGAAGGCGTCGGAGGAGGGCAGCAAGAATGATCGGGGACTGGGAGCAAAACCCCGTGAGGAGAGACTGAAAAGGCTGGGCATGTGCAACCTCTAGAGGAGAAGACTGAGGGGAGATGTGATAGCACTCGGCAGGCGCTCGAGCGGCTGTCCCGCAGGGGAAGGACTGGGCCTCTTCTCCATCACCTCGGAGTGCAGAGCGTGGAATAATGGAAGCGAGTTAGGGGAGCCGGGTCCCAGCGAAGTATCAAGAAGAACTTCCTGACTGTTGCAGCGGTACAACAAGGGTACCCAGGGCATT